TATTCTATTCTATTCTATTCTATTCTAAGACTAACTACATAGTTCCATTTAGTAGTAAAGGCAAATAAGTTGATTTGTCCTTGTGTTTTCTCTCTTTTCATCGTGTCCCAGGTAAACATCAAATCTATGTAATTTCTATGGAAAACATTTAAATAAAAACACCACACTGGAAAAAGAGAAGCAACATTTTTAGCTTCACTTTCAGAGCCTGAGGAGAAATCTGTTTCCTTCTTTATCTCACCAGCGTGTTATTATTAAAGCCTTGACTGACGTACGGTGACTCTGCTGCGTTTACTGTCACCCAGAAACACTGATTTTTACAGTGCAGCTGCAGACGTGTGACTGCGCGCTGTGACTCTCTCCATTCGATTTGGCTGAACAATCTGTGGAAACAGGCGCCACATCCAAATCGCTGCTGCGGTTTTTGTGTTGACGAAGCTAAAATGTGTCAGCATGTTAACGGAGACGAGGGGTTGTGGTGCTGCTGAGGCAAAGCAAAGATGGAAAAAAAATAAAGCATCATTTTTATATTTGTTTCACTGGAAAACAAATGCAACAACACCATCCCCACCAATCACTCAGCGCCACTGGCAGCACATTCAATCGATGGAAGCCACACATCTGACATGCTTCCCTCACTGGGGGCTGAGAAGCATGTGACCGCCCCGTACAGTCTGCAGCCCGCTGTGTGTGACCACTGTAGCAGAAATAAAGCACATCCTCTGCCGCTTGGAGAGGAAAAAGCCTCCCTGAATGAGGAAGATGAACCCCTTCAGAGGCAGGCGGGGGGTTAATCACAAACCGGCCCTGATTCCCCCCGTCGGCTTCCATCACGTCAGTCAGCATGCCAGAAGTGCACGGCGCGCAGCAATTCTAACACGTTTGTATGCATTGGATGCGGCGACATGATGCCCTGGTTTGACAGGTGACTGACCAGCAGCAGCAGCAGCAGCAGAGACGACACTTTCAGCTGCACAAACAGCACTGACAGCATCCAAAACAGATGATTAGAAAACGTCTGAATAATTGGGAGTAATTCATATATTCTTCTTGAGATCACTTTCAAACATCAAGTCGCTAATATGACAAAAAACCTCCATAAAGCCGTTCATATGACATGAAGTCAACCTGCAGCAGCCCTCTGTTTACCTCAGAATGATCACTACGCTCCTCTAGAAACACATTTAATGCACATTACCACAAGGATGCCCTCATTTGACAAGTGACAGCAGCAGCAGCAGCAGCAGAAGACTTTCTGACGGCACTCAGAGCAACCTGGAGTGTCTGAATAATCAGCAATCATTCAACATCATCTTCAGCATCAAATCAGTTCATCCCTCTGTGTATTTATGACCCTGCTGATGCAGACTAACTGGAGAAGTGTGAACCTTTACATCCACACATGTGCATTTATTTGTTTTATGCAGACTGAGCTGGTTGCACAAATACTGCACATGAGGCACTTTTACTGCTTCTTTTGCACTTCTGGTTCGATGCTCGGCTGGATTTCTTTGACAGATGGATTATTATTGTCTACACAGAACACTATATATAGCTCTGTATATGTGTTATATGTCTATCTATACATGTTCCCATAGACATATATCATTAATAGAACACTTAAAGGATGTATATGTATAGATATGCAGATACAGATTTAGATATTATACAAAATAAAATGAATACTGCAACCTTAAAACCTCATTAATGTCACATATATACAAACTACACCATCATGTCAGCTAGAAATGATCATACAATGTGAATATTGTTCCATCAAAGCCTCATATTTTCAGCACAAGCGTCTTTTTTTTATAAATAGAAATACAAAAATACAGATGTGTGTCCTTCAACAATCATCACAACAGCGTTCAAGTGGAGTCCAAGTGTCACCCTGGCACCACATTCCTCTAGTTTACCTCCAAAAAGAAACAACTCCCGGAACTAACCACACCACAAATCACTACTTTTTTTTTTTTTTGGCACCAATCGTCGCGTAAACGTTTTGATTCCAAAAGTCCTTAAACTGAAACTAAACCCAAACTTGTCCGGAGTTGGAGCTCCAGGTGACCTCCAGCTGCTCCTGCTCCGGTGTTTTTCCATAAATGACAGAAATAATAAATATATAAACGAGACCCCTGTGGCTCCGCGTAAAAGCAGGTTGAATTAGAGACGCTTCCTACCTGCAGGACACCGTGATTTCAACTTTGGTGGCCGGAATGGACGCGTTGAGCGGGTCGAAGTCTCCTATCGACGCCATGTTTAGGAAAGTGTTGTTCATCCTGTCAAATTGGCTTCCTTTTCCCGTCCGTTTTCCTCTTGTTTAAACTGCTGTCCAGCCCCCCTTTTTTTTTTCTTTTACGCGCAGCGGCGACGCAGCCGGAGAGAGCCAGGAGCCGAGCGAGTGCGCCTCCTCCGCGGCGAGAAGTGGAGCAAAGGTGGCGGAGACACGGAGGGAGAGTGGAGAGAGAGAGAGAGAGAGAGAGGGGCTGGGAGATGTGATGTCACTTTCTCTCCCTTCTTTCTCCTCCCTGCCTCTCCATCCCCATGTCCTCCCCTTCTCCACTCTTTCAGCTCGCTGCTCCGTTTCACTGGCCTGGAAGTGATGACAATGATACAATCACTAATCAATCACATTGAATGGGTTTGTCATGAAAAGTCTTTCCTGTGTGTGTGTGTGTGTGTGTGTCTGTGTGTGTGTGTGTGTGTTGGCACGTGTTTCCCCTCAATACCCTCATTCACTTCACTTCAATTCACATCATTTCAATGTGGCTGCTGTTGGCAAGAGTCTCCCCTCATCACGTCCTCCAGGGCCGGATCAACCCACTCCGGAGCCCACCACTGGGGTCGAAGGGCACCTCGGAGCCCCCCGGATGGTGTCGACTCAGGCTGGAAGACCGCTGAAGTCTGTGTTATGATGCACAAGGGTTATTTTGTGTGATTTCCAGCATTAGAGGCTTCATAGGCACATGACTACACTGTAAAATAACAATGCTGTAAAATAAAAAGTGAAAATCTGGCCACAAGAGTGACAGAAAAAGGTAAGTTTACAACAGTGGATAGCTGTGACATTTAAAATGTGTAAAAATAAATAATAATAATAATAAATTTAAAAAGAAAAGGTAAATATTTGTATGCTGTAAAATGCTGACACTTATTTTTTGATGATTCAAATNTTTGGAGAAAATCGATGTCTTCTCTGTGGAGGACAGTTAAATATGTATCACACTGGATTTTAGTTTCACTTTCAAGGCCTGAGAGGGAATCTGGTTTTTTGTTTGTTTTCTTTTTTAACTCTCTGATTTTACTCGATATTACCTGTAATTGACCAAAACAAGGACAGTCTGTAAAATACCAGCTTAAAAAAACATATTTACCTCTTTTCAATCCTTAAATATATATATTTTTTCTTCTATATAGCTGTGAAATAACAAGATTTTAGGATGATTTAAATACAGCAAAAAAACCTGAAAAAATGTGTACTTGTGTAAAGTATTATTTATAAAAATACAGCCTAGAGCCATTCAATTTTTTTTTACAGTTAACATGTAAATAAATTGATAATATAACAGTTTAAATGAAGTTACAATTATTAACATTTATTTGCCAGTTTTAAAAATATTTTGCATTTTTCAATCTTTATTATTATTATTATTATTATTATTATTATTATTATTATTATTATTGCCTATTTCATCATCTAATTGATTTTTCATTACTTTATATTATTATTATTATTATTGCCTATTTCATCATCTAATTGATTTTTCATTACTTTATTTATTTTGTTGTTTATTTTGTTCTCTTTAACCTTTTACTAACTTATATTGTTTTGTTGTTGTTTTTTCATTCCACTTTTTAAAATATTTTTACCAGGTGTTGTTGTACTCATTTATTTTGAAAATCTTTTACTATGTTTGGACTGACCAGTCGTTTGTTGGTCAATGTTCTTTCTGACTATCCTTTTATTTTTTTTGCCCTGTCTGTAAAGCACTTTGTAAACTAATTTATTTTATTTTATTTTTAAAAATAGGTGCTCTACAAACAAGGTTATTATTATTATCATTATTATAAATTTATTTAATTTAATAGATTTTTTTCTTCTAAGTAGCTATAAAATAAGTTTAAAAAATTTAATATCGCAAAAAAAGAAAACAGTCATTCTATGAACTTTTCTGTGGCAAAAGCGTTGTGTTTCTTTTTGTCTTGAGGTAAAATAAATCTGGGTTCAGGTTCATCTCAGAAACTTAAAAAAAATAAATAAATCTTTAAAATTAGTTATTATACATTCAACAGTATTTATTTTGGATGTTGTCGTATTTAAAAGGCAGAAAACTAAATGATTTCTACATTTCAGCACTGAAATTAAAGCTGAATTAAAAGTCTATGGATGAATATAATGTTCGAATGAGACCGACTCATCAGGCTGGTAGAAGTTATAGCCTAGTTATCAAGACTGTTACCCCACAAAGCCTGGTTAGTTCAACTGAGTCTATCAAACGTCATCTGAGTACAGGAGTCTGCTGGACCACTTTGTTGTCTGGTGCAAAGAAAACCACCTGCAGCTCAACGCCTCAAAGACAAAGGAACTGCTCATAGACTTCAGGAAATCTGGACCATGCCCACGACCAGTTCTGATTGAGGCACATGAGGTTGAACTTGGGCTGTGGTTGGACAACAGGTTGGACTGGACATGCAACACAGACTACAAGAGGGGACAGAGCAGGCTGTACTTCCTGAGGAGGCTCCAGTCGTTCAACATCTGCAGGGAACTCCTGCAGATGTTCTACCAGTCGTCTGTCACCAGCGTTCTTTTCTACACCGTGGTGTGCTGGGGCAGCACCACATCAAAGAGGGACGCATCCAGGCTGGACAAATTAATCAGGCGGGCCATGAAACTGGACTCCCTGGTGACAGGAGGCACAGAGGAGGACACTGAGCAAACTGCTGGCCATCATGGACGATGCCGGCCACCAGAGGAGCCAGTTCAGCGACAGGCTGCTCCTCCCCAGGTGCAAAACCTACAGGAACAAAAACTCCTTTGTCCCCCTGAGCCATCAAACTGTTGAGCTCGGGGGGAGGGGGAGGAGCAGCAAGCAGGGAGTGAGGGGTGAGGAGTGAGGACATCGGGGTGAGATAGAGCACCATGCTTCATCACCCGACTGTGGGCAATATTTAGGCACTTTGGCAAATTCTGTTACTGTATCCAGAGTTATTATTATTATTATTATTATTGTTGTTGTTGCTGATGTTGTGTTGGTGTTGTGTTGTTTTTCTAGTACAACAATTTCCCTGACGTTTACACCGAAGGGATCAATAAAGTTTTATTCTATTCTATTCTATTCTATTCTATTCTAAGACTAACTACATAGTTCCATTTAGTAGTAAAGGCAAATAAGTTGATTTGTCCTTGTGTTTTCTCTCTTTTCATCGTGTCCCAGGTAAACATCAAATCTATGTAATTTCTATGGAAAACAGTCAAATGAAAACATCACACTGGAAAAAGAGAAGCAACATTTTTAGCTTCACTTTCAGAGCCTGAGGAGAAATCTGTTTCCTTCTTTATCTCACCAGCGTGTTATTATTAAAGCCTTGACTGACGTACGGTGACTCTGCTGCGTTTACTGTCACCCAGAAACACTGATTTTTACAGTGCAGCTGCAGACGTGTGACTGCGCGCTGTGACTCTCTCCATTCGATTTGGCTGAACAATCTGTGGAAACAGGCGCCACATCCAAATCGCTGCTGCGGTTTTTGTGTTGACGAAGCTAAAATGTGTCAGCATGTTAACGGAGACGAGGGGTTGTGGTGCTGCTGAGGCAAAGCAAAGATGGAAAAAAAATAAAGCATCATTTTTATATTTGTTTCACTGGAAAACAAATGCAACAACACCATCCCCACCAATCACTCAGCGCCACTGGCAGCACATTCAATCGATGGAAGCCACACATCTGACATGCTTCCCTCACTGGGGGCTGAGAAGCATGTGACCGCCCCGTACAGTCTGCAGCCCGCTGTGTGTGACCACTGTAGCAGAAATAAAGCACATCCTCTGCCGCTTGGAGAGGAAAAAGCCTCCCTGAATGAGGAAGATGAACCCCTTCAGAGGCAGGCGGGGGGTTAATCACAAACCGGCCCTGATTCCCCCCGTCGGCTTCCATCACGTCAGTCAGCATGCCAGAAGTGCACGGCGCGCAGCAATTCTAACACGTTTGTATGCATTGGATGCGGCGACATGATGCCCTGGTTTGACAGGTGACTGACCAGCAGCAGCAGCAGCAGCAGAGACGACACTTTCAGCTGCACAAACAGCACTGACAGCATCCAAAACAGATGATTAGAAAACGTCTGAATAATTGGGAGTAATTCATATATTCTTCTTGAGATCACTTTCAAACATCAAGTCGCTAATATGACAAAAAACCTCCATAAAGCCGTTCATATGACATGAAGTCAACCTGCAGCAGCCCTCTGTTTACCTCAGAATGATCACTACGCTCCTCTAGAAACACATTTAATGCACATTACCACAAGGATGCCCTCATTTGACAAGTGACAGCAGCAGCAGCAGCAGCAGAAGACTTTCTGACGGCACTCAGAGCAACCTGGAGTGTCTGAATAATCAGCAATCATTCAACATCATCTTCAGCATCAAATCAGTTCATCCCTCTGTGTATTTATGACCCTGCTGATGCAGACTAACTGGAGAAGTGTGAACCTTTACATCCACACATGTGCATTTATTTGTTTTATGCAGACTGAGCTGGTTGCACAAATACTGCACATGAGGCACTTTTACTGCTTCTTTTGCACTTCTGGTTCGATGCTC